GATTTTGTGTTGGAGTTTATGTGGCTTCTTCTCAATGCTTTCCAAAACCACTTTGGATATTAGCGAATGGTGATACAATCATTGAAAAAAGTAATTTTCGCTTTCGCTATCTCAAGTTTGACTTTGAGAGAGCCGGTTGGTTGGTTTAAATGCCACCCTACTAATTCCAGCCTCTAATGTTCCATCTCAATGCAGTAGTACTGCAGATGTTTTGAATTCCATGCTATTTTCGTTACTTTCGTCACTTTTATTGCTAGCCTTTATTTTCTATGGTTCTTAATATATTTCTGAATAAATTCTGGTGGGTGATTATTCACTAGTAATATTTCCTTAATTTACTTGATTTAGTTATTTAAATCTCCTGATATACTAGTTAGGATCTTGGCCCGATTATAAAGAACTTTAAAAAAATAAAATACTCAATTAATAAGTATTGGTAAACGTTTTTTAGTTATGTCATTACCAAAGACGATAAAAGTAAGATTACAGCTACACTTGAATCGCCTTTCAATATTTCCTTCTTTCATCCGTTAAACTCTGGTTAGTATTCTTATAAGTCCCTTGGATTCCGAAGGGAACATATGACTTCGTCAGCAAATCTCTAACTCACCCTCTTCTCTGCAGCCTTATTTAGCTGGCATATAGGTCAACTATAAGCTTCCATCTACTCCTCATGCGACATCCTCCATGTCATCCTCGAACCAACTCCCTAAGCATGGTTGCCCATTCAGGTTCCAGTTGAGGATCTGATGTTCAATGTCAGTCAACGGTTTTCTAAACGTATGCAAGATCCATCTCCATTTCCTGGTGCATATTTGTTGGATGTTAGTTCCTTGATTGGTCCATCATCATAGTGTAATGTTTCTAATTCTTTATAGGCCAACTGATCTTCAGTATGAAGCAAAGTGGATAGCTATTGATAAAATTCTGAAGTCTTTTCAAAGCTCTTGTCGTGGCACATCAGGTGTCTGAACCCTATAGAAGTTGTGAGTTGAAACTATTGTTGGGGACCTGAAACTTGTCCTTTATACCGATTTGAGGGGAATTAAAGTGTATTTCGCCTTTCGATCGTGACTTCGACACTTTCATAAGTACTGCCACCTGTAGTTGAAACCATGGTGCACAGGTGAGTGAAAGAGCTGACCTCCTTCAAATTTCTGCTGTTAATCATGATTGGTGCTTGTTGCTGTTGTTGATTGTTGAGTATCTGCACCACCTCTTTCCTCTTTCTGTTTACTTAAAGTCCAGTCTTCGCTATCTACCTCGTGTGCCGACTTGATGATTTTAACCGGTAGACCTTTGAGTTCATATCTGCGAGAGTCTTCTAGTCGGTCCAACGTATTCCAATCTCCTCGCTCTCCACGGTCTACCACATGATCCAGTCGAACACACTTGGGAACATCATCGGTGAAAACGGACAGCCTTGCCTTACTGCTGTATTCAATTCAAAAGCTTCGCTGAGTTTTCCGTTGTAGGCCACTTGATATTATGATACTGAATATTAAACTTCATAAAGATAGAGAACTATAGTTAGAGAACCATCAGAAAACCTAGGAGTACTGGACAACTGCCTTGTCCTAGTTTGGGACTCATAGGCAGTACACACCCGCCGGGGTTCAAACCCAGGACCTTCTGGTTACAAGGCTAGTTTGTAGACCATTAAGCCACTGGGACCCGATCCTATGGTCCATGAATTCCAACTTCCACCAATTCATGACATAGCGCGACCACTTCACAACTTTTTCTTCTATGAGTTACTGCCTCACCTTTAACCTGCTGTACCCTACTGGTCACCCCTTCCCACTAGAACCCCAAGTTAACTGCCTGAATGATAAAACCTTCCAACCAATCAAACACAACCCCTGCAAAACCAATACTTGAAAAGAGAGAACTATAATTTTTTTTAAATTGAGGCAGTTGCTCGATTCGCTGAAAAATAAGTAGGAAACGACCCTATAAAAATCCAAACTTCCGAAACAAACAGTCATGTGAGTATTTCAAATGATAAGTTAATACCAAAAGTATATCAGTCAATCAAGCGCTTATTTTCTTCATCACTAACCTCTCCAATGTGAGGCTATTACACTGTGTTATTCTGTTAATTACAAATCTTTATTCACCCCACGATTATATCAACACGTGGTATCTTAACATTCTCTACTGACCTTAAGTCATATGTAAACTATTTATTTAGTTGAAGACAAAGAGGCTATTTTATAAGAAAATAATCAAACCTTTCTCAGCTTTATAATTTTTTCCTAAACACTGTTAGTTCTGAATAGAGTTAAGTTCGGTAACTTTGCAAAATTTAGCCTAATCCAAGTTTTACATAATGCAGCTAATCTGAACAGAAAATCATCCGTTCATATGAAATGAAAAGGAAACTAAATAACACTCACTTAGAGACTAATGGAAAAAATGGTTAGTTTTTATATTGCTAGTCTTTACACTAATATATCAGTCAGTATGGCCTTAGAAGCGGTTAAAAGAGAACTAACTTCTAACTCCAAACTAAGTTATAGGACAAAGCTGCCCACTGAGAAAATTATTTTAGGAATTTAGTTATACATCACATCTAGTATCTTTAAATTCCAGGGCAAAATATATAGACAAACAGACGGTGTAGCAATGGGATCACAAATATCTCATATCGTAGTAGATATATTTATGGACAGTTGGGAAAATATTGCTCTTAATACATTAAATATGGTGGAGATATGTGGATGACACTTTCATACACAGTGTTGAAAACAGAACATATCTCTCTCTCTAGCTTCTTGACACACATAAACTCACTAGTGGACGGAATAAAATTCACATTTGAATCGGAAAATGAACAAGGAGAATTAGCTGAGATGTTAGGTTGTAAAATAAAACGAATAGAAGTAGGTAAACTGAACACTAGTGTTTATAGAAAACCAACGCATTCTAATAGATATTTAGACTTTAATTCGTCTCATCCTTTAACTGTTGAGGCAGGCTTAGTTAAGTGTCTAACAAACCGAGCCATAGCACTAAGTAGCACAAAAAAAGACCTAAATGACGAAATAAAACAGATAGAAGAAGCGTTGGTGTTGAATAACTATCCTATTAAATTCATTAGGAAGATCATTAAAGGCCAAAAATAAAAATAACTGTGACACTAGTAATAATAATAACATAAATAAGAGAGAATATAAGTCATCTACAGTTATACCATATAAGGAGGGGACATCTGAGACCATCCCTACGTAGGATTCTTAATAAAGTAGGAATCAGCGTGGCATTCAAACCTACAAACTGACTCGGGGACAAGCTCTGTGGGTTAAGGGAACCAGTTGACCAAATTAGACAAAATAATATAATTTACAAAATACCCTGCAATGACTGTGAGTCAAATCAACTACATAGGTCAAACTAGAAGGTCAGGGGTAGTCATATTGTCGGAACATAAGAATTTAGCTAAGGTAGGAATGGTTGACCCTGAAAAAATAAGTAATTTAGAAAAAAGCTCAGCAAGTGCACTACATGCATTAACACACAACCACACAATAGCATGGTGGGAGAGGGTTAAAATTCTAAAAAGTAATCTAGGCAGGTGGAGAGAGAGACTGATTACTGAATCCTGCCTGCTTCATCGAGTCTACACCCAACACATGCAATAGGAATGATTCATCACTCATACCCGAAATATGAAAAATACTACTACCAATCGAATCAAGTGAAAAATAATGGAACTATATAGATAAAGTTAGGAAGTCGTGTGAGTACCTTGATGTGATTATGAGCAGTGATAAATTGTGCTCGAAACGTCACCAGTAAACATTATAGTATAACGCTGTGAGACTTTATCAAGACAAATTTTATCCATAATGGAATAACACAATTATTTATTCTCCAAGCGATAATGAAACAGATTTAAAGTGGTTAATCAGTGCTTAAGTTTGTAAATAAACGTTAATATAATATACAAGAATACTTCTGATCGTATCTGACCAATCTTCTGCCAACCAGTACACAATTTAGCAATGACAGCCTTTTTGTCTCCCGCGCCAATATGGAGACCAGTTCGCATAAACAAACTATTCAATGTTCACCAACATTGGCTCCACTAATTTTAGTAATTTTTCTATCCCTGCTTTTTATGTTAACACTTATACATTTGAAGTTTATAATAAAAAAATGATTTTGAAGGTTAATCACGAGAATTCCTTTGTATATTATCATTGTCATTCATGGTTATTTACTTTGATATCTGACATTAAATTTAATGTCATATTTATGCGTACTATCACATATACATGTTTTGCTTTGTAATCTAGTAACAACCTGCATACACAAATCTTGTCACTAACAATTATTCCTTAACTAATATGAACACATGACTGTAGGACTTAAAGAAATTGTTGAAAAGAGTATTTAGATCACACATTTGTTAGGGCTTTTGGATTACTTTTGACGTAGATTTTATTCCCAACCAACATCACCTGACGAGCTGACCTGGTAACCCGAAAGTCACGGGTTTCTGTCCCTGGTGAGGCCTTGCGAGTGCCCTATTGAAGCGTAGTTCCGATCTAGGACGAAAATGCTATCCAGTACCCCTTGGTTTTCACTGAATCCCTAAACGACGGTGATCTTTAACGAATCCCACATTCTGTGCTCATTAATCAGTATTTTGAAGGAAACATTAAACTGTGTTATTTCAATGGACAGTGCTTATCAGTTAACATTCGGATCTATGGAGATGTGATTGATTTCTGAGTAAATTCCATCACAAACTAACATTATCCAGAAAAATTTAAAATTGAAGAGTTACTAAATAACAGATTTCTTTCAGTACGGCTATGAATTCCTTATTATATTCAAACTAGATGAAAAATACTCTTTAGCATTTCGCAGTTACTAGTGGTATTGGGATAGATGTCATTTTTGATCGAAATCTGATCTTCAGACATTGTCAAAGCTTTACACTCAATAAATCACAATGGCTTTGTTTGCTTTTACAATTTTTTAACACATAGGGTTATGTGGCAAAATGGCTTGGTCCTTATTACATTGGATTTGGTGGGTCTGGTGCAAACATCCTTAAAATCATCAGTCGCCTAACACTGAATGTAAGTTTCTACGTTTTTATTATTCTTAAAGAATAATTAATTGTCAAACATTGTTTAAACTATCTTACATACTCCATAGTTTTAATCTAATAGAAAAGTGTATGACACAATTTTTCAGAGTCTTAAAGACTGACCGAAAAAAGGCCTGACTTCAGTTTGAAAGATGAAAGAAACAAAGCCAATCAGATTCACTAGTTATTTAAAAGTGTTACACTGATTTGAAACTGCTGATAATCAGACAGGAAAACAAGAAACTTGCTAAACAATCTAATGGAAGACTGATTTCAATAGCAATTAAGTTTTGGTAGAATCTATGGCCTTAATTGCTAATGCCTAATGTTGATTTCACTTGGAATGAATTATCAATAAAGTTTATTAAAGTGCAGGAAGTAGACTGAGATTTTCAACACTAATGCCAAGTCAACACTTCTGTATAGGTCAGAAACACGGCATGTTACAGAAAGTACTACCAAAAGGCTTTTGCATACTTTTATCGACGGCTGACATTTCTCCTTACTGAAGATCAGATGACTGGTTAGAAAGTATTAGGGACAAGGGACTATGGTACCTAAATAAGACCCTATTACCGAGTAAATATGCCGATGAGAATGAAGGTGGATCAGACGTTAACTGAGGAGACTGCTGAGTGATATCGTACGCCAGGCAAACTGTCGAATGGAACGTGAAAGGGAAACAATGAGTTCCAGAGTGACAGGGAGGATATCGTGTGAGGAGGAAATGAAAGTTTATAAAAAATCGTGGAGACAGTCAAAATCAACTGTGTGGCGGAGGGATGGAGTAAAATGAAGTTGTGCCATTGGAACTCTCAATTTCACTCAAGACCAAATAAAAAAACAGAAATGTGTATCAGGAAACATTATTTTTAACTTCAATATTCCAAATTTTCCTCTGAGTGAATGGATTAATTGTGCAGTTCTCATTGTCATTCTTGACAGTAAAATCAACAAAGTGGATAAATAAATACCACTTAAATTAAGCTTCAGTAACAAACCTCGAGTGCCATTAGGACTGATTCTAGATGTGCACAATCGAGAATTAAACATATTAACACCAAAGATAAAACTATGATATCTTTAGATGTAATATCACTATTCACAAATCTACCTCTAATTGAAACGGTTAATTACATCTGTGGACAAATAAAATATTTGGGCCCCAATAGAAATCCTTAAAGAACTGTTACTAAAGTGTAGTATGGGTATGCATTTTAAACTTTATGGTGGACTCTATAAACAAGTGGATGGGGTGGCAATGAGCTCCATGTTGGGTCCCATGTTAGCAGATTTCTTTCAAAGTAAACTAGAAAATGTTTTTTTTAAAACAATCTTACCAGAAAATTCTCATTTTATTGCCGATATATGGATGATATCTTCATTCTTTGTGAAAATGACTTAGACAGCAAAGCAACAGTATCTCAATTCAATGAAGTACATTCAGCTATAAAATTTTGCGAATATGAAAAAGGATCCATAAGTAAAACTGCCTTTTTAGATGTCCTACTAACAAGAAGACCAGAAAGCAGCATAAAAAGGACTTTGTATAAGAAAAGTACTTGGACCGGTCAATATACACATTTTCACAGTTTTGTTTGACTACAGTATAAAAGAAATTTAGTAAAGGCACTCAGCTATAGGGTCAAAGCTATTTGTTTAGAAGATGCGATTGAAGACGAACTTAAGATTGCATACAACACGTTAATTTAAAACAGTCACCCTGAAAGGTTCGTCACTAATCACATGGCCATGAGAGTTGAAAGGAATTTTTCTATAACTAGATTGAATGAAGGATTTCATCATGAGCTGACACCAGTTAGAGAACCACTGGAAAACCTGAGAGTACTGGACAGCTGTTTCCTCCGCTCCAGTTTGGGACTCTTCAACAGTACGCACCCATCACCAGTGTTCGAACCGAAGACCCTCTGGTTACAAAGCGAGCACGTAGACCACTAAACCACTGGGACCCGATCCAATAATGGCCCATGAATTCTAACCTCTGCCAATTCACGACATAGCGCTACCATTTCGCAACGTGTTCTTCGATGAGTTACTGCCTTATCTTCTGGTAGAAAAGAGTTAACAAAAAGTTTTTATATGCAATTATAATTCAAAGGTGATAGATCAAGGGAAATAGTACTCAACAAGTTGAGAAAATCGATTCGAAGATCATTTAATGCCGGTAAGCTGCAGCTCATACTTTCCAAACAACCAGTTGTGACTGCGAAACTGAAAGACTATGTACCAGGGCTGGCTACCTGTTATCGTATCTGTGAATTCAGCTGCTTATGTAGAGCCAATTATATTGGTCGTTGTTATAGGAAATTAATTTTCATGCTCGAGAACACCTACCAGTGTGGCTACATAAGTGTTATTAAAAACACTGACAGTTCTATATTAAGTTCAAACAGGCCATAAAGTCGGCTAGCATTGGAGAGTCTTTCTCTATCACCTATGGGGTATTATCGTATGGACACCGAACACTCCAAACAACAGAGGTCCAGCCACTATCACCGCCCTGACCTGTGGTCAAATATATAAACTCATAATATCTCTATTATTTTATTTCATTCATTTGATATTCAGTTTAGCATAATATTGATGCAATTATCTCTTACTTGAGACTTCGAACTGTATTATTGATTCAATGTTATTAACAATTTTAATGTTGTTAATAAAAATAATTCTCAAGAACAAGATGATTTTGAGAGAACACTTGTGGTTTCGATAAATTCTTCCTCAGACTCTACAGTTACAAATCCATGATTATTAATTATTAGAATACAAACAGCCATTGAAGGCGTGTGAAAATTATGTTGGAAACTGTATTGTTGGGGTACATGTATAATATGGAGTGATAGTTTGTTTTTCGATTGGATGGATGATTTCATCATGAGCTGACATCGCTTAGAGAACCACTGCAAAACCTAGGAGTACTGGAAGGCTGTTTCGTCAGCTTAGTTCGGGACCCTGCAGTAGTACGCATCCACTGGAGTTCGAGTCCAGGACCTTCTGCTTACAAAGTGACCTCGTAGACCATTGAACCACTGGGACGCGATACGATGGCCAGTCTATGAATTCTAACTTCTGCCAATTCATGACAGAGCGACCATTTCGCAATGTCTTCTTCGATGAGTTACTGCCTCATGTTCAACCTGCTGTACCCTACTGTTCACAGCTTCCCACTAGAACCCCGGGTCACTACCTGAATACGCCCTGTCTCTAGCGAGCATCAGCTTAATTTTCGAGTATCAGTTTTGTAGGGATTTAGTTTGATTGAATGTAGGATTTCATCATGAGCTCACATCAGTTAGAGAACCACTGGAAAACCTGGGAGTACTGGACAGCTGTTTCGTCAACTTAGTTCGGGACCCCTCAGTAGTACGCACCCACCAGGGTTCGTTTTTCAATATTGTCAAATGAACGTATATAAAAAATGTGCAATCGTTCAGAACATAAGATCAAGTCTGTACAGACAATTGAGTGACATACTAGTGCATTTATAGTTTACAGGATATAAGTTTCATTGGAGGTGGGGGTGAGTTATATTCAGTGGTTTTCGGGGAAAATGATTACCACAAATTCAATACAAACAACTACCAAAACATGGCGAACAGTCAATGTAAGTTCAAGGGCTGACAGATATCAAGTGCAGTGATAAAATAATGAGGTTAAATTGTAATAAAATACTGCAGACATAATAAGTTTTGTGTAAATTATACAAAAGGCTGACAGATAATAAAGAAGTAATAATGAAGTAAAATGAACTAGGTGATAAAGGAATAAGAAAGGCATAATATGACATGAAAATATAGATGATTATGTCTCTGCTGACCTTATAGTAGGCCAAAGTCGAACTCAAGGGAGTTTATCTTTACATGCTCGTAAACATGTTCCTGTTTGGCTCGGAAAAAAAGTGTAAACAAATCAATAAACAGTGCCATTTCGTCTCATTTACACCACACCAAAATAGATGAGTCATTTACGATTGTGTATCGAGTACCAAACAATCTGTATACTCTGGAGTACTTACTATAAGGTCAGCAGAGACAAAATCATCCACATTTTCATGTCATATTATGCCTTTCTCATTCCTTTCCGCCTAGTTTACTTTACTCCATTATTACCTTTATTATGTGTCGACCTTTACACAAAGCTTATTACGCCTCTAGTATTTTATTACAATTCACAATCTAACCTCATTATTTTATCACTGCACTTGATATCTGTCAGCCCTTGAACCTGTATTCAGTGTTCCCCATTCTTGGTATTTGCTTTTAAGTGTTTTGTGGTCATCATTTTTCCGCAAACCCCTGAATATAACTCACCCCCACCCCCCACTCCAATGAAACTTATATTCTGAGCCTATTCAGGCATTGATCCGGGGTTCTAGTGGGAAGCTGTGAACAGTAGGGTACAGCAGGTTGAACATGAGGCAGTAACTCATCGAAGAAGACATTGCGAAATGGTCGCTCTGTGTCATGAATTGTCAGAAGTTAGAATTCAAGGACCATTGTATCGCGTCCCAGTGGTTCAATGGTTTACGAGGTCACCTTGTAACAAGAAGGTCCTGGATTCGAACTCCAGTGGATGCGTACTACTGCAGGGTCCCGAACTAAGCTGACGAAACAGCTGTCCAGTACTCCCAAGTTTTCCAGTGGTTCTCTAACTGATGTGAGCTCATGATGAAATCATCCATCCAATCGAAAAACAAACTATCACTCCATATTATACATGTACCCCAACAATACAGTTTCCAACATAATTTTCACACGCCTTCAATGGCTGTTTGTATTCTAATAATTAATAATCATGGATTTGTAACTGTAGAGTCTGAGGAAGAATTTATCGAAACCACAAGTGTTCTCTCAAAATCATCTTGTTATGATTACACTATGAGGATTTATAATAATTCTTTCATTATTATGGTCGTATAAATGTAAAACTTGATGACGAATTTATCGATAAGAATATTCTTAGTTCAATAATATGTCTTTTGAAACAATTAAATATTCCGAAGCTGCTCGAAACTGGAGACTTTCGCTTCTAACATTTATCTCACTTATTTTCCACATCATTGTGTCGCACTTATAAGCATCAGATACTAACTAAAGGCAGAACTCAGCAAAGACAATTAGGATTATTCAAGCTCTTGCTGAAAAGGTGTTTCTGTCGTTCTACTATTTCGTTTCTCCGTAAAATAGTATGTCTCGTTATGATGTTTTATGCTGCATAGCAGAGTACACCATCTCAGATGTTAACAGTTCCACATATTAATCTCCAGTTGACGAAACGACTATTTATATATTTGTCACTTTATTCCGTAGAACCATTTCAAGTTGAACTGAAGCCGAAGTGCTGTTACATAATTATGAAACATGACTAAATATACTAATATTGCATATTTTAAAAGTTATGCATTCCGACCATTCCACCAATAAAATCATGTTTCTCCTGTCAAAATCATTTTTGCACTAATACGATGTCTTTCTTCTGTGTTTTTCTTTCCTTCCTTGTCTAGGTTGTAGGTTCAGTTTCAGAACTTACCAATGGTGTTTATTCACTGGCCTACATTCAACCCAATGGGAATGATAATGTCAACAGTGGTGGTGTAAAACGCATAATCCAGTTTGCATTCGCTTCTGGTACACGTGTTTATATTGCACAATATGAACAGAAATAACAAGTCTGTTGAGGTAGAAACTAAACAACTCGAAAAAAAGTTTTTCTACATTTTTAAATTAATTATATACATATATATTTTCTTTGTAGAATAAAACAGAATGTCATGTACTTTTTAAAAATACACTTTATTAAAAGCTTACAAATTTTTGACAAGTGAAGATGTGAGCTGTTGTTATACAAACTTGCCACGCTTTCATTTAATATTATTCAAACAGGTAGAACGGAACCAGTCAACTGTGATTTGAATCACCATAGTTTATTTGTCTTATGTGGTTTTATAATACGTGCTTCGAGGAACGGTGTAATCATACTATATATTAGATTTGGTTATTACGAAAGTATTTTATCATCCGTTTTACACAGCTCTAATAAATCTTGTGACATTTGCTATACTGTGCGCGAAAACATCTCACGATGGCTTTTATCCTTACCCGTTATGCTACATATGTCATTTTTAAAAATATCACTGAAAGTCAGTCCACCTCAACAACAGATTGTTTTGTAGGGTTTCATCATGAGCTGACATCAGTTAGAGAACCACTGGAAAACCTGAGAGTACTGGACAGCGATTTCGTCCTAGTTTGGGACTCTTCAGCAGCATGCAATATTGACTGAGTAATTTCTAGTGCCCCTTATTACCTTCTTTTTCCGTATACGGCTGTACAGCTGCTTGAAAATGAAGTCGTTGAAAAGAGACATACATTAATATATGTGTAAAACTTGGGCACTGTGACAGTAAGTAATTCCATATTAGTTTGTTTATTAGATGTATCAGACAGTGAGTGAAACAGTATTATTTAGTGGATGACAAGGTTTCGAACACAATTTATTGCGGTTCATAATCATATCCGTGATAATCACATGACGTCGAAACTTGAGTTTTATAGATTTCTTTGTCTTCTCCTATTTGTCATCGTGGGCGTGGTAGTAGAATTTTCCAGATATCTGCCTGGACAGGCGCTGATTCATTCCTATTACGTGTAGTTGCAGTTGATTCGATAAACAAAGCTTTTGTTATCAGTCTCTCTCTCCACCCTGCTGTGACATTAGATTTTAAAATTGTCATCCTATCCCATCCAGCCTTTTGTGTGGTTGTGTGTAACTGCATGTAGTGAGTGCTGTCTACGGCTGAACTATTGTCTAGATTTCTTATCTTATTTGGGTCAACTAATCTAGATCCAGAAATTAATAATAATAAAATTAATAACTAATATCAACAATATTAATAACAATATTCATGACCACACAAACAATAAGGAATCTAAATCATCAGTACTAATTCCTGCCATACAAGGAAGGAACCTCGAAAACCACGTTACGCAGAATTTTTAACAAGGCAGGAATAAAAGAGGTTGTCATTCAAACACACAAACTCAATTCGAAACAAGCTTTGTCGGTTAAAGGATAAATCCCGTGGAGCCTTTAAAACAAAACAATTTAGTATATCTAATACCCTGCCTGTGATGATTGTCAGGTCAAATACATAGGTAAAACTAGTAGAACAAGGGAAGTCAGACTAGCTGAACATAAAAACCTAGCAAAATCTAGATTAGTTGACCCGAATAACATAAGAAATCTAGACAATAGTTCAGCCGTAGACAGCACTCACTACATGCAGTTACACACAACCACACAAAAGGATGGATGGGATAGGATGACAATTTTAAAATCTAATGTCACAGCAGGGTGGAGGGAGAGACTGATAACAAAAGCTTTGTTTATCGAATCAACTGCAACTACACGTAATAGGAATGAATCAGCGCCTGTCCAGGCAGATATCTGGAAAATTCTATTACCACGTCCACGACGACAAATACGAGAAGACAAAGAAATCTATAAAACTCAAGTTTCGACGTCATGTGATTATCACGGATATGATTATGAACCGCAATAAATTGTGTTCGAAACCTTGTCATCCACTAAATAATACTGTTTCACTCACTGTGTGATACATCCCTTTTTTTATTCCTTTACGTTCCTAGTGGAACATAGGGTGGCTTCCAGCTGGAGGCTTGAAGTTTCGGTAGCAGTGGTGTTTGTTTTTACGAGATGGGTTTGCTGGCCTCATGCTTAACCTCCCCTCTTGACCAGTCTTACTACTGGCTTAGCGAGGTAAAGGAGTGCCTAGTCGGTGGCCGGGGATCGAACCCCGGACCATGTGCATGGTCGGTAAGCGGCCTAACCGCTATGCCACCGACGCACAATCCGTTAGTAGAGCGTGATTTCGATCCACGGACCTCTGGGTTATGGGCCCAGCACGCTTCCACTGCGCCACTCTGCTCTGATACATCTAATTAACAAACTAATATATGATACAATTACCCAGATGATTTTAACTGAAATATATTTGTGTAAATAGTCGACAGGTACACTTAGTCAGGAGTGAACAATAGAGATGATTCTTTTTTCTGAATCAAAAACAGAATCATCAAAAGCATTAAAAGGCTGTAAAAAATATATACACTATGACATCCACAGAAGCGTCGCAAATACAGTGTAAAAAGGATACGTTTTGTTGGATTTGAAAGAAAGCCAGTGATGCTAATTGCGCGTATCTCATTGTGTAAATCGAATGTAAGCATCTTATGGCATTTGAACAAACATCTTGTAAACATTCTTGATTTCCATACAAATAATTATAATCACAACCTTCTCGCTTAAATATTTCACAATCTGATCATAGACATATAAGGTCCAGATCATGAATACCAAGAATAAGCTGAAAGCACATATGAATAATAATAATAATAATTTACTTTATTCCAAAAAAGTATTTGTGATACAGAATGGAATTTTCAGCACTAATCACAATATTGCACTAATTTCCTCAAATTATAAATAAAAAATTAATCACACAGAAAATTTTCCACATTTACAATAGGGATAATATCAAAAACATGCAGCATATAAAATGGAAATAATAATAATGACAACAGCTAAGGTAATAATAATAATACAAGTGAAAATTGTTGTTGGCTTGTTTCACGCAGTATTGTCAGTGCGGTTCAGAAATCCTAGCAAGTTTAAAAATATTGAATATAATGTTCTCGCCAGATACTAGCTTGCTAGGCCACTAGCTTACTAGTTTTCTAGCCGGTCCCAAGCCCGGGTAAAGAGGGAGGGTTGGGGCGTGGTGCTAGCAACTCCACCCCTGTAAAACAACCAAATCGCTACAGAAACTTCAACGAATAAATATATTCAAAATTCTATAAACATAAGCAATAGCCTTACTTTTCGCTGGAATAGGGGAAGTGAAATGACACAGGCTGGTGAAAGCCTTCGGGAAGCCAGTCAGCCGATGTGCCTTCTTTCGATGAAAGCAAAAGTAAGGATGGGTACCTGGAATGTTCGTACAATGTACGAAACTGGAAAGGCTGCCCAGGTAGCCGCTGAAATGAGAAGGTACAGAATAGAAGTGTTGGGAATCTGAGAAAGCAGATGGAACGCAACTGGAAGGTGCCAACTACCTACTGGAGAGACAGTAATCCCTTCCGGCCACCCAGAGAACAACCATGAGCACACCGAGGCAGTGGCCATCATGATATCACCAATAGCAACCAAAGCTCTCATGCAGTGGGAACTAATCTCCTCCAGGATAATGACAGCCAGGTTCAACTCAAAAGGAAGGAAGTTACAATCATTCAATGTTATGCGCCTACAAACGTCTCAGAACAAGAGGAGAAGGAGGCGTTCTACAGACAACTACAAGCAATAATGGACAATGTCCCAAATGGCGATATCAAAATCCTGATGGGCGACATGAATGCGAAGCTGGGAGGAGACAACACAGGAAGAGAACTCACCATGGGTCGTGAGGCCCTCGGTGAAATGAACAACAATGGTGAACTCTTCTCAGACTTCTGCGCCTTCAATGATTTGGTGATTGGCGGTAGTGTGTTCAAACACAAGGATATACACAAGACGACATGGATTTCACCAGATGGAAACACCAAGAACCAAATAGACTTCATCTCAATTTCAAGAAATTGGAGACGGAGCCTACTGGACACAAGGTCAAGGAGAGGAGCAGATGTGGGTTCAGACCACTATCTAGTACAAGGTACTTTCAAGATGAAACTAAAAGCCTTGAGGATAGCTGGGGATAGGCCACAATGCAAGTTCAACACTCAGAAACGTCAGCGTATGGAACAAGATCCGGATCTTATACATTATGTCAAGTCAGTTAGAGCTTCTATATGGTTCAAACATTTGATATGCGAGTTACAAAAAGCAATGTTCTACGTTAAATCTCAGGCATTCGACAGCGTCGATCGAGAAGTGAATTTGCAACTATTTCGCTAGTACGGGGTGCCATCGACAATTATACATCTCATCCAACGGTTGCACGACAATCTTGAGTGCCAAGTAATCCACAACGGGAAACTCACGGAATCCTTCGAAGTGAAGACGGGAGTAAGACCAGCTGGATGCCTACTATCGCCAATGATTTTCCTCATTTCGGTAGACTAGGTAGTGAGACAGACAGCAGGCAGCGAGAAAAGAGGTATAAAATGGATCCACACAAGAAACTTGGAGGCTGTGGACTTCCCCGATGATATTTGTTGATTTCCCACAAACTGGAAGATATGCAAGTGAAAAGAAACAAGTTGGCAGAAGAAGCATCAAAGACAGGACTTAAGTTGAGCACAAAGAAAACAGAGGTGATGAAGATTCCTGACCAACATCAACAGCAATAAGCATAAATGGGAGAAATCTGAAAGAAGCAACCTCCTTTACCCACCTACCTGGGAAGCATCGTTTCAACTACAGGCGGATGAAACTGACGAAGATGCCATCAAAGCGAGGATCATCGGGAAAGCAAGGCAAGCATTCATTTCTCTGAAGTCTGTGTGGAGATCAACAGCATTCAGCATGAAAATGAAAATAAGGTGAGGATTTTCGACTCCAATGCGAATTCAGTGCTACTATACGAATGGATCAGAGAGTTGGCGCGTCATGAAGAGCACTTCGAACAAACTACAGACCTTCAACAACAGT